ATAGTTGGGTGGATAAAAGAGCTCTGTAATCACCTGGAAGGTGCAGTGTGGATTTGGGAATGGGATGTACCAAAATGATGAATATTTATTTGTATTTTTGGGTATTCAATACTTGGGTGGATAAAAGAGCTCTGTAATCACCTGGAAGCCGCGGTGTGGATTTGGGAGTGATCCCACACACAATAAACACAATAAACACAATAAACACAATAAACACACACTTTGTAACTTTAAACTGTTCGAGAGTTTTTGTGTCACAGTTGGATATCGGTACCAGATCAATATCCAGATTTTTTAATAAGTCACACCCAGCCTGGCATCACCACGCGATGAAGACTCCGCTGGTCTCCACCCGATGAAGGCTCTGCTGGCCATGAACAGAGTGGCCAAACTGGATGAGATGGTTCAAGCTGAGCTTGAACTGGGATGAGGAGGAGGAGGAGAAGGAGGAGGAGGAGGAGGAGGAGGAGGAAGAGCAGCAGATCCATCTGAGAGGGTCACACCCAGCCTGGCATCACCACCCGATGAAGACTCCGCTGGTCTCCACCCGATGAAGGCTCTGCTGGCCATGAACAGAGTGACCAGAACTGGACCAGATGGTTCAAGCTGAGCTGACCCAGTAACTGGGAGGAGGAGGAGGAGGAGGAGGAGGAGGAGGAGGAGGTCCATCTGACCGTGGGGGTGTCGCAGAGCTGCCAGCACCCTCCAGGCCTCGGTGAAGAGCCGAATCGAGGAGGATTCTGCTCCATCTGTGCAGGACCAGCCAAGGCATCAGCAGGGCTGGGAAAGCAGCTCAGGAGGAGAGCGGGCAGTGCCAAGCCAGAGCCTGGCACGGCAGAACAAACCCACCGCCAGCAGCAGAGCCCACCGAGCTCCCAGCTGGCACCACCACACCCTGCCCTGCTCCTCCTCCTCCTCCTGGCAGGGACCAGGACGGGCACGAAACGCCCCAAAATTGGCACCGGACGGGGTCAGGCCGCCTCCGGTTCCTCCGGTGATCCCATCAGTTGGGCACGGGGAGGAGAGGCAGCAGCTTGCGGGCAGGAGAGCTCCCAGGCAGGCAATCCTGGCCAAAAATGGCTTTTTTTTCCCCTTTTCCCACACCTGGAGATGCTCAGCTCGTGTATCACCCCGTTCCTTCGGGATTTCTCCTCTGCAAACGGCACCAAAAAGGGTTTGGCCGTGCCAGGCCTGAGGCAGAATTCCTGTCCTGGCAGCGGTGCCAGCACATCCCTCACCGTCTGGGCACCTCTGCAGAGCCTGATCCCGGGGCTTTGTCCCAAAATCCAGCCTTGCCTGTTGAGCCGAGTGCAGGATTCCTGGGATGCTCCGCTGCCTCCCTTCTGCCTGAGCCCTGGAACGGCTCCTCTCCCCCCAGGCAGCTGATCCGAGTCATCCAAAATCAGGCCAGGCAGGTAGGGAGGGATGCAGAGAGGTCGCCCTCCCTCCCTCCCTCCTTTCCTGGGCCCCACCAGGGCTGCCAGTGCCAGGGCTGCCGCTGGCACGAGCGCTGGGAGCATACGGAGAGCCCGGACGGCACCGGGAACGAATTCCTTGGGGGAAAAGCACCAGGAAAAGCGCCGAGCAAAGGATCCTGCTGCTCCAGACAGCAGCAGCCTGCCACCACGGCCCTGGGCTCTCCCACATTCCAGCAGGACAGGCAGGTGGCACCTGCTCGGAGGTTGGGGATGGAAAGATTCCCGTGGAACCCCATCCCAACATGGGCAGGGCAGGCTGGGAGGTGGCAGGGCGTGTCCTCATGTTCTCCAGTGCTCCAAGGTAAAAAACAGTCCTGAGTAATCCCAGGGCATTGTGTAAATAAAGGGTTTGGACCTGCAGATGTCACTGTCTTGGAGGTTGGGGATGGAATAATTCCCGTGGAACCCCATCCCACATGGGCAGGGCATCTCCTCAGGCCACAGGAGCTTCCATGGGTGGCCTGGTCCAGCAGAAAGCTCCAGAAATAAAAAATCACCCTGCAGGACACAGACAATGTCCTGAAGCTGCCTCATCTCAGCAGGCTGAGGACATCTCCCCATGTCCTCCAGTGCTCCAAGGTAAAAGACAGTCCTAAGTAATCCCAAGGTATTGTCCAAAAAATGGGTTTGGACCTGTAGATGTCATTTTCTTGGAGGTTGGGGATGGAAAAAGCCCCATCCCACATGGGCAGGGCATCTTCTCAGGCCAAAGGATCTTCTCTGGGTGGTCTGGCCAAGCGGAGAGCTCCAGAAATAAAAAACCACCCTGAACCTGCCTCATCTCAGCAGGCTGAGGACATCTCCCCATGTCCTCCAGTCCCCCAAGGAAAAAAAACAGTCCTGAGTAATCCCAGGGCATTGTCCAAAAATAGGGTTTGGACCTGCAGATGTCACCTGGGCATGCCAAAAGCCCCATCCCACAGGGGCAGGGCAGGTTGGGAGCCAGCTGCCCCAACAGCAGGACATCTCCTCAGGCCAAAGGAGCTTCTCCAAGTGGTCTGGCCAAGCAGAAAGTTCCAGAAATAAAAACTCACCCTGCAGGACAGGGACATCGCCCTGAACCTGCCCGTCTGCAAACCTTCCCGTGTCCTCCAGGGCCCCAGGGGAAAAAACCAACCAAAAACAGCCCCAAATGATCTGGTTTTAGCTTGTGGTGGCCTCCTACCTAGGGCATTATCCAAAAAAAAGGGTTTGGACCTGCAGATGTCACCTGGGCATGCCAAAAGCCCCATCCCACAGGGGCAGGACATCTCCTCAGGCCACAGGATCTTCTCTGGGTGGTCTGGCCAAGCAGAAAGCTCCAGAAATAAAAACTCACCCTGCAGGACAGGGACATCGCCCTGAACCTGCGTCTCTGCAAACCTTCCCGTGTCCTCCAGTGCCCCGGGGAAAAAAAAAAACAACAAAAACCAGCCCCAAAAGATCTGGTTTTGGCCTCCCAGGGCATTGTCCAAACAAAAGGGTTACACAACTGCCGAGTGGAATAACCCCGCCGCGAGAGAATGCTCCTCACACAAGGACAACCACGCAGCAGCCCAAACAGCCGAATGTGCCGACGGCAGCACAACGGCGGCCAAGAGCTCAGACAGGGTCCTCTTGTGCAGGAGCTGGGCCTGGGGGGCTTCCAGGGCTTCCTCCACACCCTGCCCCGGCCGTCGTGGAGCTCTGGAGGAACCTTCTCCAAGGAGGAGACTCCATCCCTCTGCCCCAGCACAGGGGATGGCACCGACCGTGAAAACACGACAACTCCGTTCCAAGCATCTCCTCTGCTCCTAAGGGATGTTTTTTTCTTTTTTTGGGGGGATCTGTTTGTCCAGCTGTGCCGCTGGTGGTCAGGGTTGGGCCAAAGCAGAGGCCAGCCCGGGAGGAAATCTTGCAGTGTCACCATCCGGGCTGTGTCCTGTCCCAGGGCAGCTCCGGGTCACGGCCACCCCCCAGGCTGAGCATCACCCACACCCAAATGACTCTTCCGTGGGAGGACCGTGGCCAAAAGCAGCACAAACCCCCGGGATTCGTGGATGGGAACGCAGCCACCAGCCCCCAGAGGCTGTGACAGCAACGGAGATGGGTGCGGGGGCGCCCCGTGGGCTCAGCCCCTGTCCCCACCGTGTCACCTCCCACCCGGCACAGCCCTCGGGACCCTCGACCCCCCCCAGCTCCGCAGGGATGGGGATGGAGCACCCCCAGCTCCTCATGGATGGGGCTGGAGCACCCCCAGTTCCGCAGGGATGGGGCTGGAGCACCCCCAGCTCCGCAGGGATGAGGATGGAGCACCCCCAGCTCCTCAGGGATGGGGCTGGAGCACCCCCAGTTCCTCAGGGATGGGGCTGGAGCACCCCCAGCTCCTCAGGGATGAGGATGGAGCACCCCCAGCTCCGCAGGGATGGGGCTGGAGCACCCCCAGCTCCGCAGGGATGGGGCTGGAGCACCCCCAGTTCCGCAGGGATGGGGCTGGAGCACCCCCAGTTCCGCAGGGATGGGGCTGGAGCACCCCCAGTTCCGCAGGGATGGGGCTGGAGCACCCCCAGCTCCGCAGGGATGGGGCTGGAGCACCCCCAGCTCCGCAGGGATGGGGCTGGAGCACCCCCAGCTCCGCAGGGATGAGGATGGAGCACCCCCAGCTCCGCAGGGATGGGGACGGAGCACCCCCAGCTCCGCAGGGATGGGGACAGAGCACCCCCAGCACCCCCAAACCCCGCACGGCGGCTCCAGCCCAGCCCTCCCCACCCAAACACACGCAGCGGCATCGCTTCTGTCGCGACAGGCGACTCCCGACACGGCGAACGGAGCCGCCGGCAGCCAGACAAGGCACGGCGGCTCCGAGCCACCGGGAGCGATGGGGGACAGAACCCCCGGTGAACCGGGGCTTTGTCTGGCGAGCATCCCGGCGGGACCGGGGAGCGGCCGCCGCCGCCGAGCCCCCCCTCCGCTCATCCCGGGGGGAGGCGGCGGCTCCCACCGGAGGCACCGGGAGCCGCCCCAGCGCGGCTCGGATGTCACCGCCGGTACCCGGGCGGCTCCATCCTCCCCGCCGGTACCCGGGCGGCTCCATCCTCCCCGCCGGTACCCGGGCGGCTCCATCCGCCCCGCCGGTACCCGGGCGGCTCCATCCGCCCCTCCGCGGTGTCCCCGCGCATCTCCGCCACCACCGGGGATTCTCCATCCTCCTCCTCCGCCGCCCTCCCCCGCCCCGCGGGCAGCGCCGGGAGGGGCCGAGCGCCGCCGCCGCCGCCCGGCGGGGCCTGTCTGGAACGTTCCGCCGCGGCCCCGGCGGGACACGACGGGCAGCACCGGCGCCGCCGTGACCTTGAGCCCCGCCGGCCGCCCCGGGGAGCCGCGCCCGCGGGCGGCGGCGGGGCGGGCCCCGAGGGCCGGGCGGGGCGGGGCGGGCGGCACCTGCCTGACCCACATAACGGCGCCGCCGCCGCCGCCCGCACCTGTCGCTCGGTTCCCCGGCGTCACCGCACGGTTCGCGGCGGGGATGGGGACGCCGCTCGTCGCGCTCGCGGTGCCGCCACTCACCGTCGCGGGAGAGGTTTCCCCGGGCGCTGGCGAAGCAGGCGACGAGCAGGAGGGTGCGGAGGGCGGGCGGCTGCATGGCGGCGGCGGCGGGAGGCGGCGGGAGCCCGCGGGGCCGGCGCGATCCGAGCCGCAGCGCGGGCGGCGGGCGCTGCTCCCTGCGCTGCTCCTCCGCGCCGGAGCCGGCGGTGCGGCAGCGGCGCGCCTTAAATAGAGCGCGAGGAAGAGACCACTCCTGCCGGGGGGGTGGGGGGGGACACGCGCCGATGCCGCCCCCCTCGGCCCCCGTGTAAACGCGCCCGCTCCGGCCGCCGGCCCCCCCGCGGGCTGGGGCGGGGTGGTGCGCGCCGCATGCGCGGCTCCCCGCGGGAGGCAGGTGCGCGCGGGGCGGCGGGAGCGCGGCTGGACCCGGGACCCCCGGTGACATCCCCCCGGTCTCCACGATCCCCCCGATGACATCCCCCCGGTCCCCGCGGTCCCCCCGATGACATCCCCCCGGTCCCACCGATGACATCCCCCCGGTCCCACCGATGACATCCCCGCGGTCCCCCCGATCCCCTCGATGACATCCCCTCGGTCCCCGAC